AATTTTTTTAATTATTAATCATTTATCTATTTATTTATGTATTTATGTTTGTATGTATGTACATATTTTGTTGTTTATTTGATGATTTATTTAATTTATCAGTTTAGTAATTTAGTATGTTAATTTATTTTTTCCCTACTCTTTGTCTTTTTCATCTTAACAGGTTTGTCCCGTGGAGTTGGCTTCATTCGATTCGACCAGCGCATTGAAGCTGAGCAGGCCATCAAGGAGTTGAATGGCGTCGTTCCTTCCGGAGCCTCTGACCCGATTACCGTGAAGATGGCCAACTCACCCTCGGCCGCGGCCTCTTTGGTCGGATCTGCCGGTTCCGGCCAGCCCGGCGTTCTTGGCCTCAGTATGACGACGCCTGCTGTCTCCGGCATCTGTCTAGGCGGCAGCCTCTCTGGAGCCAACAGTTGCCCGATGGTCAGCGGAGTCGGCGCCAACACCAACAATGCCGGAGTCTGCGGCTTGGCTGGCTGTCTGGTGGGTCCGGCGGCGGCAGCTGCAGCCGCAGCCGCAGTCGCCGCCGCCGCGCTTGGCGTCAGCCGACTGCCAGGCAACCAGACTTCTGGTCCAGCGTCAAGGGCCGCATCCGTTCCCGGCTGTCTGGCTGGAGGCCCTTCAAGCCAACAGACCGGAGCATTCCTGCTTCCCGCCGCCGCCGCCGCCGCCTTGGCGGCAGCCGCAGCTGCCGCCAACTCAGCTGGAGCCTCTGCGACCACTGGCCCGCACGGCAACGGAAACGCCGATGGGGTCGGTGGTAGTGGTCTTATGCCCAGCGGTACTTCCACCGGAGTCAGCAGTCCTGGCATCAGTCTTCTGCCGACCCATGGGCCTGGTGGGCCGGCAGGGGGGACAATTAATGGTCCCTGTTCCCCTGTTGCCAATGCTTCTATCAGTGGTCGTGACAACAAGGCGATGCAAGACAGTGCTGCTGTCCTGACGATGGCACTGCTACATCAGGCAGGTTGCGGCCCTGCTGAGGGCTCTTGACTAATATGACCTTTACTCGCCTTAGGCCGTTTAGGGTGATGATAGTTGAATTGCCCACATCCACCAAAGTAAGATTTGCATCGAAAACTGCTTTAAGCATGTATAGGTAAGGTAATGGCAGCTGCCTGTTTGCTTCTCTGACAATTCTACTACGAAAATGTGATATCGAAATAGATTATTTGTATGAGAATACCCTTTGAGAGGCAAGACCATATGAATTTCAATGTAAACAAGAGGTCTATTCATCTTATTATTGGGGAAACTCCATTTCCTATGCAAGTACATAAAAAAAAGATCTCAAAGGTAGATCCCACCAGAAATCGACAGCTAATTTGCGTTGCTTTATTAATGCGATGTTCATGTTGACACAGTCCACGAGACCTTCTCCCTCATTCTTGGGTGAAAAAGGGTTGCGCTTTCATCCATCATGTGAAAGACATCATTAGAGCGATACTTATACATTTCCGTTTTTCGTTTTGAGTATGCATAGGAGGTAGGATAGAGCGATACAGTTTTCTTTACCTAATGTTGACGGGAAACTTTTGTAAGAATGAGCTCCAACTCTGATGTTGTGCATCATATGATAAACAAGATCTCAGCCTGTTTTCAACCAAAAACAAGGAGAATGTCTCGTGGACTGCATCAACTTGAACGAAATATTGAAGCCAAACAGTTGCAAATCATCTGTCGCTTTTTGATGAGATCGACCTTCGAGTCTTTTCATCACTCACTTTCATATGAAATGAAAGTATCCCCAATAATGTTATCTCAGGATATTTTTCGAGACTCGATTACTCTTTGTATCTACTCATCTCATTTCGACAAATTCGCTATCATTATTTCACAAATTTAAACGGCCTAAGGTGAC